TATTTAGCTTATTGCCTGAAGTTCTGCTTTAACAATAAATATTTTCCTTGTGATTTTATAAGTATTTGTATTATACATAAAGGAAACACCAGTATGCATGAGCCATAGATGCAACAATCCCCAACAAGCTGTCTATCTTAAGTAAATAACACGTTTCAAACTAATTTTACACATAGATTTACAGTAACAAAAAATAACATTTAGTATAGTATAGTATATTAATCGATTGTGAAATATAACTGTTTTTGGTGTGGCTTCAGTGATCTACTTTGCATGACTCCAGACATGAGAACCTTGATTCATTGCCACAGTGAGTAGGAACATTAGTTAAGTGTTCCAAAGAAGAGGTAATCTGACTTCAGAAATAAGTGCGTACTGAATATCTGGACAAGAACCAGACCTCTGCGATAAGCAATGAATAGTTCATTGAAGCCAGTGGCTTGTTTAGTGGTGATAAAGGATGTAAAACTGGATGAATTTTCTTTTCAAAGTCATCCAAATATTGCATAACTCTATTCACTTGTTGACGTTAGCCATTTGGGTGTTCTACATACATTTATAGAAGCGGTACACATGTTCTTTAAGTGCTGGTGACTGCTCTGGTATTGTTGAACATTCATCTCCTGTGACAACAAATGAAGACAATTCTTAGCTGTTTCCCTATCAGTTTAAATGCCCACCACAACAAAAACAGGTATGAATGCAAAAGTGGTACATGTATCATTCAAGACCATATAACTATATTCTCTTCAAATGCTCATCCTTTACTATTAAAGCTCTAGGCAAATAGATAAATACACAGTTTAAATACATACAGCATATGAGAACTGATTTACCTTCCAAAGGGTTATGAAGTTATGTCTAACCAATCCGGAGATTTACACAGCGCTGCCAGATGGCACAGCCAGGCTAGTGACCTGACATTTCTCTACTGCAGATATACAATACAGCGTGGTCACCTCCCTGCCCCCAAACTGTAATTGGACAGTGAAGAAGCAGCGGAGTAAGGATGACATCTCACTCCTCTGTCCTTCTGTCAACATATTTCTTGTCAGCAAATGTGCACTGCAACACACACACACTCGGCTACTAGTGCTGCTCATACCTCTCACAGTCTGACTACTGCTTTGCACGGAATGACAGTAGACTGTTAGCACCAAGTTCAATCCAGGGACGAATGCTAGCTGCATTTAAAAATATATACATTTTTTGCATTATTATTTATGCTACAAAAGTGGTGCATTTTTTTGAGGTATAAACAAGGCTTTTTTTTTGGAGGTCTTCCATGATTTCTAGATGTTTTACAAAGACAAAAATAAGTACTATAAATAAAATGTTCATTTTGTTTGTATTTTTGTAGCAGTAGAGTAAACAAATGCCCAAAAGTTTTAAAATCTTTTGTAAATAAATGTTGCAATGTTTTTCAGCAGAAGAATAATTTTGGGGTCATGATGAATAAGACATATCACAGAATACAAAGAGTACTTTATATCTGCAGTTCAAAAAAAAAAAAATCATACAATTAAAAAGTTATTTTTTCAGTTTTGTTTCTACATTGAAGGGAATTTTTAAAACTGGAGCAGACAAAATCCAGAGGGGTTGTATATGGCAACCAATCAGCTTCAATATTACATTTACAAAGCTTAAAGGAGAGCTATTGGGAGAGTAAAATGTACTCTTCTTAATAGCTTGAGCTGACGTGTGACACTGCTGCTATCGCATTTCGGCTCTATAGCTTAAGAACTAGACATGTGCACTGCCAAAAAATTTGTTTAGTTTCGTTTCGTTTTAAATTCGGATTTGTGTTATTTCGTTTTTCAGGATTCGGGTGTGAAAGTCAATTCGGATTCGTGATTCGGACGAAATTCGGTAGCGTTAGTACGAACGTTCGTTTCGTTTTCTGTTCTTATTCGTTTCGTTCGTTCGTTTGCAGCAAAAGTGACATTTGAGGGGGAAACAATATTTTTCTCCTTCTCTAATGTCACTTTGCTCCAACGAACGAAACGAATAAGAAACTAATAAGAAACGAATAAGAACAGAAAACGAAACGAACGTTCGTACTAACGCTACCGAATTTCGGAAATGGAAATTCGGATTCGTTTGCATTCGTTATGTCTGTAATTCGGAATTCGGATACATCCGAATGTCCGAATTTCTGAAAATTCGTCTGAATTTCGATTCGGAACTAAACGAATCGCACAAGTCTATTAAGAACTGAACGATCACAAACTGCTGATTGCTCAGCTCATGGCTTCTCCCTGCAGAGAGCGGTGACGCCCCACAGGGATTTCCCCCTTTCTTCTCTGTTCCTCCAGCACTTATTGGAGGGACAGACAGAGGCGGGGGTGGGCACAGCAGGCTCTGGCATTAGAGAAGCAGAACCAGCTGTTAATCAGGTAGTGGGGTGGATCCTGAGAATCTTGTCTGGATTTTTCCTGGCTGCAGTGGTCTGCTATATGCTGAGTTTGTGCCACAGTAGTACATTAGTAAATGTACTTCTGTGACCCAACAGAGAAATAAAGCCAATGCTTTATTTTATTTGGCTATAGTTCTATTTTAACTGAACGAACTGACGATAGAATTCAATCGGTTATTATGGGCAAATGCTCTATATTCTGACTTCAGAATACTGCTTCAATTTTGATACATTCCCCCTCCCCATTGTATATAGTTGTTCTCAACAGTGCAACTGGCTGAAATGTATCAATGTTTGCTTAAATAGGAGGTGTGTGTGGAGCGCACTCAAATTAATAAATTCCTGGAGTGGTTGGGTAGAATTTTATGTTAATCCCCAGTGTGGTGACTGCAGCGTGCATCGGACAGGTGAAGGTGTCCTGCCAATTACTGTACGCAAGAAAAAACACACAGGAGCGCCACAGCTTAATATGATGGAGTCTGGGAGAGTGAAAATGTTGCACTATGTATCATATGGAACTAGCTATGGAAGAGTGACAATATGTGTCGAACTGTAGAGAAGGGTAATGGGAAGATGAAGGATGGTGTGTGTGGGCACTGCTAATGTGGAAAGGAAACAAATGAATTAACCCAATAACAAATGAAAGATTAAATAGGCAATTACATGGAAGAGTCTGTCGAAGTGCCTCTCTGTTGTCCAGTGTGTGGATGGGATGCCAATGGTGGGATCTGCGGTCCTGGATGGTTAGGGAACTGTGTCCAGTAAAGAAGTATCTGTTGGTGACCGCTGGATTCCCGTTTCTGTGCCAGGTGACAAGTTCTTTTTGCCGGTGATCTAAAAAAGACGATCTGTCCCGGCTGGGGAGAAGCCAGCAAGATGGGGGAGATGGTGGAATGCGAGGTGCAGCCGGTGTCAGTGGTGAGGAAGATGGGCTGTCGGGGTGCCGATGATGTGCGATGGGATGTACAGGGACTGTCTCATATTGAACGGAGGTGACATGAGACAGTCCCTGTACCATACATCCCATTGCCACTGTGACAGAAAGTAATAGGAAATCCAAAATGTTACAGTTAGCGGCAGGTCAAGGGGTAAGAGGAAATCTTTCAAGGGGATCATGCCGACAACAGTCTGTGAAGAAAATTTCCTTAACTTTGTAGAGATTTTCTTTCGACTTACTGTTGCATTTCCAGATCAGGAAGTGAAGTTTCTCAGTTTCCTATCCAAAAGTAAAAAGAAGTTGGCTATACATACCCTTTAAGGTGCTCCAGATGGAATCCAGTGAGCTAAATTACCCACTATCTTTGTCTATTTCTTGGGGACTCCAGGGTTGTGGTCTCATTGCTCCTTGCTATATTTCCACCTACCATCAAATTTGAGTGTTTTCATTCACTTTGGGGTGTTCACAATTTTCCTATTGCATTCCTCCTGCATGGCAGGTATGCAGACCCTGCCAGAGTCCTTGAGAAATACATGCAACTACCAAAAGGCTCCTTTAGTAGAATACAGTAGTATATTGAGCAGGCAAACGGGCAGGGAGCGTGTTGTTGTGTTAAAGTATTTAGAGGGTTATTCACAAAGCTGCCGAAGGCACCCGAGTGAATAACCCAGCCGATGTGAAGTGAGCCAAACGCTGTTCAGCTATTCACTTCTGGCTTGCATTGCTAATTTCAGCCGTACATCGGCTGCCTTCAGTCAGCCGAACATGCTCTGCCTTCAGCTGCTGTATGGGTTATAGTGAGTAGCCTGTACAGCAGCCCTTCGGTTCGAATGAACCAAAGGGCTCTGGCGGCCGAAGAGACCCGAAGGATCAGCCAAAGCTACCACTGTATCCTTCGGCTCCATAGTGAACAACCCCCTTAATTAGCCATCTGCAATGCAATGAGAAGAGTCACAAAAAGGAGAGAGTTTAAGTTTTTGGGAAGCAACTTTACATAAAAATCTGTCATTAAGAGAAATGTTTAGATATGCAGCAATTCACTGAATAGATAAAAATAACATGATTTACAATGCTGATTCTGACAGTGTTCATATGAATACAGCATTATTTAATATGCACTTGAAGCCCCATTATGTAGACTATCTTGTTGCAGTGTCTTAGGATTGGAGCAGGCAGTGTTGAGAGCTGCAGAAACTGCTTGCTGCTAGTGTCATACATTGAAATAAAAAGTCCCAAAAATTACTTGTTCACCGCTGATTCGTGTAACGGTAGCATGAATTAGAAAAAAGAGCAGATTGCATAGTTTCAATTTTCTTTTCATCCTTGTAATCCATCTATGTATGTGTCAACTTTGACTTAATAGAGTACGTTCATAATTTTTGGATCATGTGATTAGTTTCTGTACCACAGTGTATACTGAAAGCAAATACCCTGTTTAATCTCTTTATTCATTAAATAATTATTTACTTTAGTATTATAATTTGACTTTTTGCACTATCCTTCACAGCTCATTACATGTGTGGTTTGATATTTTCTTGTTATAAATATATACTACTGTTTGTAAGCAATATAACCATGGTTTGGGTTTGTTTTGAACACAGTTGTATACTGTCCAATATTAAGCATGTTCAATTATTTACTTTATAGACAATGGCCAAGATGTGTCTGACGTATCTGGTGAATCAGTTGAATAACATGGAACACTCGTTTCATCATTTACTTCTCACGGAGATTAAGAACATTACAAACACATTTAATGAAGTCCTGGCCATTCCAGGAAGAGACATGTGCAGAATGAGTAACAGCCTGACTGCAATAGCCAAGATTCTGAATGAACACCTAACTGATGAAGCAATGCCAGCATGCAGGTAGTAGTGTATGCTATCATCTGTTCAGTGCTTTACGTTAGAAGAAACTATGCTTATTTCAGCAATCTCTTATTTTACACTGGACTTTGTCATAGTACCTGTTGCGGTTACATTACCCAGTTTGCTGAACAATACAAAAGAGTTTGTAAAAGTTTTAACCAACTTTATAGAAGAATGGCAGGATGTATTAGAATTATCCCTTCCAGTGGGGCTACCCACGCACTGCAAGAGTTAAAGAAGAACTCTAGGATTTTGAAAACTTCTCCCTTGCAGTGGAGCCACCCCTGCACTGCATTGGTTTACCTGCTCATTTTTCTCTGTAGGGGTGAAAATAAAGAAGTAATATTTACCCAAACCTCGGTCCTGCGGCAGTGACAGCTCATCTCTCTGGCCCTCTACTCTGGCTCTGCTTTTCACCACTAGACAAAACAAGCAGCTAAGCTGAAAAAATACTTTAAAGACTTCAAGAAAAAAGCTTAAAGAACTCCAGTATTTTGAAAAATTAACCCTTCCAGTGGGGCTATCCCCTGCTTGTTTTGTTCTATGGATAAAAACAAAAAAGGTATACTCACCTGATCCTCAGTCCTGCCTGCTGATCAATTAGATGTGAGGACGCCGACATACCACAGTCTGTGCAGAGGGAGAAAGAGGTGAGCTGTCATTGACTCAGGACCAAGGATCAGGTGCATGCATCTTCTTTATTTTCGCCTGTAGACCAAAACCAGCACTTAACCCTTGCAGTGGAGATACCCCCACTGCAAGTGTTAATTTTAATAAATCTTGGAGTTCTTCTTTAAGTTTCTTTCTTGAAGTCTTACAATACTTTCTTAGCTCCATTTAGGGATTGATAAACCCAGATCTTAAAAGAGAACTATGGCCCAACCTTTTTTGCCATAGTTTTCGCCACTCTTTATTGTCACAGGAAGAGATATACTAATGTCCTCCTGTGACCCAAAACTCAGCATATAGCGGGCTATTGCCCACTATATGCTGACAGCACAGAGCCGGGCTGTCACCAGATCTTCACAATACACCCTGCTACCTGATTGACAGCTGGCTCTGCCTCTCTAGAGGCAGAGCCAGTTGTGCTTGCCCCCAGTCATCACTGGAGGAATGGAGAGGGGAGGGAGAAATCCCTGTGGGAGTGGTGACTGGCAGTCACTGCTTTCTGCAGGGTGATGATCGGGAACTGAGTGATCAACAGTATGTTCTCGATCAATAGAGTGGACTCGTGACAGCTTCAGTGTCACACATCGGCTCTAATTATGGAAATGAGTGTATTTCACTCTCCCCATAATTCTCCTTTAATAGCAGTGCTGAATTTCACTTAAAACTATTTTAAAAATTCCCCTTAAAGTGGGGCCCCAGCACTGGAAGGGTTAAATGCAGGCTTTTTTAAGGGTACACGGTACATTACCTTATTATTCCTCCTGCATACGTTTACCCCTCTATTCAACTGGTCCCATAAAGCCAATTCTCTTGAATAATTAACCCGTTATTTCCTGTCCAACATCATTGCATCATCATTGTATGTGAGGAGGTCAAGGACCCATCCACATACCAGGAGCATTGGAGAGCTTCGACTGCTGGGGGAATGAGGAACAAGGTAAGTATTATTGCTTATTCACTTCCCTCTACACAAAACAAGCGGTTAACCCTTGCAGTGTGTGGGGGCGGGGGGCAGATGTGTGTGTGTGTGGGGGGGGAGGGATTGGGATTGCATCGTATATTTTACCAGCTAAGTGGAGTTTAACTTTAAACAATCTGCTAGCAGGTTTCAGTAGGATTTCAGTAATGTTTAACACTTCTTGAAGCTTATTAAAATTCGAACCAAGCCTGCAATCAACTTGTTTAGACAGTGCTCCAGTTATGATCTCTGTTTACTGCCTCCAAACTGGAGTGGCCTAGTGCTTAAAATGCTTCAAGAAATCTGCTATAAGATTACTGAAAGCTTTGCAAATGTTTTGTGGGAGCTTAGTGTACACATGGATTTTATGTAAGTCTAAGCCCATGTGTATAAGGCTATATTAGGGAAGCCAGAATATATGGTGCATACATTAGTAAAAAAAAAAAAAGAAATTGTGATGCAGTTGAACCTTGCAAACCAGTCCGGTTTTATGTTTAAAAAGATGTTCTAAAAATATGGCTGCCATTGGAAAAATCCTTTTTTTTTGCTCCAGTTTTCTGTGCACCAGCTTCTATAAATCAGCACCACGGTCAGCAGTTGTTATACAAATTTTCCATTTCACACACAAATTCTGATACATGCATGAAGGATGGTGAGCAGTTCCTTGGAACGGGAAAAGGATTTTATTTGTTTTATGATATTATCAGAAAAGAATAATCCCACAAAGTATAAATTAAATAAAATTAAACTTCCATTACATGTGCTTTTCTCAGAAAACACAGAATATAGACATGGAGCTAACACTGTGTCTGAACCTGTTTTAAATGATAAATTAATTAAAATAGTTGGGGACTACTTAGCAACCAGTAACTGGTCTTGTGTTGGAACACTTTGTTCATTATCAATAAAGTTTAAAGATTAGCGGTTTTCTATGCCTAATAGGTTTTTTTTTTTGCCTTCCTCTGGATCAGCAGTGGGTAACTGTGGGCATAGCGTTCTCTTTTAGGTTTTTCTTTCATTTTTTTTCCTCTTATCTCTATAGGTTGATCTCAATGGACTTTTTTTTTTTTCAACCTGACTAATCAAGTAACTATGTACAAACTCTGGGCAAATAACATTTGAATTCTTCCAGTAGGGCTACCCCCACACTGCAAGGGTTAAGTGATAGTTTTGCCTAGGAAGCTAAAATATCAAAGACAAACTCACCCAAACCAAAATCCCGGCTGGCTCCTAGACCGGTCCCTTCATCCTTTCTCCTCCACTTCGGCAGTCTAAGGTCCTGTGAGTCATCACATTCTATAGAGTGTATTGGACGTGAGGACCCCGAGGGACAGTCCATCGCTGCAGGGACTGGTCTAGAAACTAGCCAGGATCGCAGTTTGGGGGTCGCAGTATATCTCTGTTATTTTAGCTACCTTGGCAAAACAAGCACTTAACCCTTGCAGTGTAGGGGTAGCCCCACTGCAAGGATTAAGATTTTATTTGTCCAGAGTTCTACTTTAAATTGCAAAGCAGAGAGCGACAAGTAAAACCGTTTCAGTTGTATACCAACATTTTTTGTAAAGAATAGGGAAGTATCATGTTTCCCCGAAAATAAGACACTGTCTTATATTTTTTTGGGCTCAAAAAACACACTAGGTCTTAGTTTTGGGGTAGGTCTTATTTATTTTTTTAAATGTACAACAATCTACACTTATTTACGTAGAAAAGTCTACATGTATTCATGTAAAAAAATATGGTGATCAGGGCAATCGGGAGTGCCGTACCTTTCCAAGTGCAATTTGCTAACCAATCGCTGGCCAGAATGAGCGAAGCACGCTTTCACTATCGATTCCTGGCAGGCGGAGTGCATTTGGTATCACTCCGCCTGTGACAGGAGCCGGCGCTATAGAGGAGGCATCGGCTTATGCGTCTCTGCTCCCTCCGCTGCCGCATCGCTTCCTCTAGCGCTGGCTTCGTTGGCATCGCTGATTCTCTGCCGCGGCTCTTCAAGTTCCCCCTTATGCCACCACCGGCCCTTGGAATGGTCACAACTAGGTCTTATTTTCGGGGTAGGTCTTATATTTCAGCAATTCCCAAAAAAAAGTACTAGGTCTTATTTTTGGGGTAGGTCTTATTTTCGGGGAAACATGGGTATGATGACCATATGTGTGTGGATGTAGCTAGTGGCTTTCTAGCAGGTTTTTCAAAAGCTGTGCAGTTGGTGCATATCACTTCAGTGAAGAGACTTAAATGTGGACAGGACTTTGTTCCATGCTGCTCGGGCTGCTTTTATTAACTATTTAATGTAGCCAGGTCTCTTCATTTAAGTGTTTCTAAACCTTGCTATTAAAGAATGTGCTTGTCTTTGTCACATTCACCATGTCATGGAAGGCCATATACTGCAGAGAAAGGCAAAAGAAAGGGCAAGCACAGCCTTTGCTGAAGACATTAGGTTAATTTGGTAGTTGGATGTTAATCCCTATAAATCAACCAATAATACATTGAGGCATTTCACTGTATATGGAGTTGGCAAAAGGCATGTCAGAGCTTCTGAGACAAAGTAAAATCAATGCTTGCCTGCCAGAAATAATGGCCTCTTAAGTTATGGTATTAATTCAATTTCAATGACAAGTTCCTTTTAGCCCTTTCCCTGCCAGAGCTGTTTTGCGCTTTTTGCAAACATGTTAAAATGCACATGCTAAACCTGAAGATTACTTAAAGTAACACTAAACTTAGGAATTAAATCTTAAAAATGCATTAAAGTAACTGAACTGTTAACAAAAGTGGGCCTTATTTGTATACCACTCAGCTGTAGATCCCCAAATCATCTCTGAATTGGTGCTGACACTGTCCTTCCTTCTGGAGGGTGGCTACTTTTGTTCCCCATGGCCCCTGTGTGTGTTGTAAAGTAGTCACCACTCCAAGCTCATTCCCGTGATAGACTACAATCTCAATACAAATCAGTAAACTTAACATGAGATTGCAGTCCATCACAGGAGGGAGCTTGGAGCGGTGACTACTTTACAACATATTGTGGGACCATAGAGATCAAAAGAAGCCACCCTCCAGAAGGAAGGACAGTGTCGGCACCAATTCAGAGATGATTTGAGGATCTACAGCTGAGTGATACACAAATAAGATAAGTTTTTGTTAATAGTTAGGGCACTTGAATGCATTTTTAAGATTTAACTCCTGAGTTTAGTGCCACTTTAACATCCCCCAGAATTATATTTTTCCTGAAAGCAGAGACCCTGTTCAATAAAATTGTGGCAGTTATTATGTCACATGACATTAGTGCAACTGTTTATTAAACCCAAATTCTCAGTAAACATACATTTACGTTAATTTTAAGATATATCCAAAAATATTACCCAGTTTTTGGGTAAAATAT